CTTCTTCTATGCGCCAATCGATTCCTCACACTGAGAGGACCCCTAGAAACACCTTGGACTATGCAAGTAAACGACTGCCTATTTTCTAGGGGCGATCAATTTCAAGAAACGTTTGAACTTTGTGCCTTTTTTCACCTTAAAGGGCCAGTTTGACACCTTTCTGGGCGTCCTATCGTCTTGCTCTGTGCGCCAATCGACTCCCCATGATGCGATAACCCCTAGAAACAACTTGGACGATGCGAGTAAACGAGTTCCTATGTTTCAGGGGTGAACAATTTAAAGAAACGTTCGAAATTAGCGTGTTTTTCACCTTTTGGGGTCAGTTTGACACCTTTCTAGGCGTTCTATCGTCTTGTTCTATCCGCCAATCGATTCTTCATGATGAGAGAACCCCTAGAAACACCTTGGACGATGGGAGGAAACGGTTAATACCTGATTGGCGGTGATCAGATGGCGGTTAAGGCTGCAAATTGTGCGAAACCGGCCAAAACGGCTTAAAAAGAGGTCCCTTTCATGCTTTTCTTGATTTGATGGCACCCGACAGGTAGCCAATCCTCAACCCATTGTATCAAAGTTGTGTTCCAGGGGTCTTTCATCATGGGGAATCGATTGGCGCATAGCACAAGGCGCTAGGACGGCTATCAAGGTGTCAAACTAACCCCAAAAGGTGAAAAAAACGCTAATTTCGAACGTTTCTTTAAATTGTTCACCCCTGAAACATAGGAACTCGTTTACTCGCATCGTCCAAGTTGTTTCTAGGGGTTATCGCATCATGGGGAGTCGATTGGCGCACAGAGCAAGACGATAGGACGCCCAGAAAGGTGTCAAACTGGCCCTTTAAGGTGAAAAAAGGCACAAAGTTCGAACGTTTCTTTAAATTGATCGCCCCTAGAAAATAGGCAGTCGTTTACTTGCATAGTCCAAGGTGTTTCTAGGGGTCCTCTCAGTGTGAGGAATCGATTGGCGCATAGGAGAAGACGATCCGACGGCGGGAAAGTGGTCAAATCTGCCTACAAAGATGAAAATACGGCATTTTCCCCCTATTTTTTGCAGTTTTTGGCCCCTGGAAAGTAGGCCATGTGCATATTCGGTATGCAGTATTTTTTAACTTATTCTAGGCATCAATACGAACAATTCGGCGTTTCGCTTTTCTCTTTACGACCAAAACTCGAATTACAGCACCAAAAAATATTATTCACTAAAATTCATTATTTTTCTAAAAACTTTGAGCGCGACCCCTAAAAATGCTCCAAAAAAATCGAAAAAATGCGGAAAATTTTTATTTTGGGCCGAACTTTAAGATCAATTGCGGCGCTCCTCGATTTTTAAACTTTTTTTTTCGCGTGGGCCACCCTAGGGGAGGGCCTATGCATTTGCCTTTGTGTTTGTGTGTTGTTGTTGTTGTCGTTGTTGGCGTCTGTGTACAGGGAAGGAGTTGAGCTAGAGTAACCAGATTTGGCGGGTACTTCAGGAGTACCGTCCATACAAATAATCCAGCGGTGCAAATCACGTCCGGGTCGCACGAGGGCTGCTGCAGGTGCATCATGGTTTACATGAGCGGGAGGGGGATTTCGGCCATTATTGGTGCTACCAGGGCACATAGGGGTATTTTTGGAATCGGGGCGACGAGACAAGATGAATGGACCTGGTCCCGACCCCATCGGCCGCTTTTACAAGTTGGCCAGATCAGGATCTTCAAAAAAGGGGGTCGACCGACTTAACAAAATTATAGCAGATTTCGATTGGTCTCAGCAAGACCTATTCAACGAGGGGTCGGAAAGGGGGTCCAGGAGCCCGACTTCGTCTATTATTCACATCAGGATCTTCAAAAAAGTGGGTCGACCGACTAAAAATTTTAACTTAAGTTTTGGATAGGTCTTGGCAAGACCTCTTCAACGAAGGGTCGGAAGGGGGGTCCAGGAGCCCGCCTTCATGAGTTATGGGAAAAAGTGCGACGGACTGGTTTTGCGCTCCTGCTGTGCCTCTATTGCAAGGAGTTGCAGTAGCATGGCAAATATGGGTATTTTCGGAATGAGGGCGAAGAGACAAATGAAATGGGCGGGTGATTCCGTGCGTAGGGGCCGTTTTAGCCACCTAAGAAAGTCAAGTAATCAATCCTGCTTGTTCGGCCGGAATTTGGCCTAGATGGCATCAATTGAACCCCAGGAAGACACTCTGAGCGTGGGCGAGCTAAAAGTTGACTTTCGTTTTCCCCCCCTATAAAATATGACGAAATTAACTGAAAATATGACGGAAATTACGCTTCACGGAAATTACAAACAGGTGTTTCTGGCTCACTGCAACTGCATATCGCCACAGAAATGGGCCATAAGTTTGGCACACTAGTTCGACGTCAAGACACATCTTTTCACGTGTAGGATGTCATTCAAAACCCAGTAGACGAGGAGGGAGAGGGGCATACGGAAATTACACCAATTGTTACAACCCACCGATTTCACACAACTTCCACTCGCACACTCACCCCCCTCACTTTTTCACCACCGAAATTCGTTCATATGGTAAAACAGACCGTGCTGATTCTGAATACGGCGGTGGTTTTGAGCAGGAAGCACTCCTAGTAGTTTTTTTGGTGCTTACACTCTAAAAAATAATATAGGATTTTGTAACGATCTTGATACAAAATTCTGTAACACGTCAGTCGGATACAAAAATTTGTATCCTTGATCCTAAATTTTGTATCACGTCAAGAATGTTACGAATTTACGAATCAGTGCTTCAGAATTCTAAAACTGATACAAAATTCTGTACTTTTTGTTCCAATATTCACAATCAGTGATATAGCTCCATGTAAAAATGCGATCTTTATGCAAATAACTGTAACTGATACAGAAAACCGTAACATATCGTTACAAGTTTACATATCGTCTGATGCAAAAATTAATAACGCAAATTTAAAGTCAGATTACGAGCTTAATTTTAACATCACAGTTGATCGGGCGAAAAGTCCTAACGTGGGGCATGGTACTTAAGAAGCTTCGGGTCAGGAACTCTAACTGTCGCGCCGCAGGGCTCGTTTCCCACCACTACCTGGGCATGCAGCGTGCCCGCTCGGTGTCATCGACAGTCTGAGGCGTGCCTTCCCATACGGCGCTGTGGCGCAAGCGGTAGCATGCCGAGCTGGCAATCCGGGGGGACCGGGGTTCGGTTCCGGAGAACGCAGTTCGGGTGTTCGGGAGTACAGGAGCGACGGAGCGAATGTGTTAGAACGAACGATCGTTGAGGTTCAAATTTTGTTTATAAAACGACAAATTTTTCTGATTTTTGCATTGCAGAATTCTGTAACCGGGAAACAGTTTACCGTAACGCGTGATACAAAATTTTGTATCAGTGCTGATACAAAATTCTGTAACATTTGTAGTGGAAATTACTGCGTAACCATGTTACAGAATTTTGTATTGAAATTTTTTTGAGTGTACTTTGAAACCGCTAAGGTAAAGGTCGGAGTACGGTGGACATTTAGTACGCGTTCTGAAAGTACAGTTCCAATCAATATACGATCTTCAAATTCAAGCAAGATAGTCACTATTAGTTAAAGATTTGATGGGTGTGTGTGGAATTCGAAGATTTGAATGGAACGCAGGGTTATAGAGCCGCAAAGTTGGTGTAAGGTGCGAATGGACATGACGGAACTTACAAAATCGACCCTTTATGGCCCCTCTCCTGCGTCACATGTTAGCTTTGAAAGTCCGTATCCAAAGGGAACAAGCTATTCTAGTGCCAAACAAGATTCTTAAGTGTATAAATGGACTGCACTCGAATAAGTTCGCTCTGGGGAGGGTGTGGACACGAAAACGCCCTCTACGCGCGGAATCACCCGGGCATATTCTGAGGACAGTTGGAGTAAAGTGTAAGGACTATTGCATATTGTGAATAGAAGGGCGGGCCTAAGTCACGATGGTACATCGATAACTTTGCTTTACCCGCTCACGGGGTGTGTGATGCGAGCGGGCCGAAGGCCCGGGCCTTCGACTGGCCAAGTTGGGTCTGATGCGAGGGCGGAAGGCCCGAGGAAAGGCCGCCGGCAGGCCAAGCTGGGCTGACCTCCTGTCGAACCGAGTTGCCGGCGCAGCGAAGCGGAGCTGGCAACTCGGTTCGATGGAAGGGCGGGTCCTAGCTTGTTATAACTGCGTTTGGGTGGTTCAAGGGTTTTGTAATTGAACTTTAAGAGGAAAACATAAACGTTTACAATTGGTCTAAAATAAGCAAAAATAATAACCTTTTTAGCAACTTTAAAAATGTGCACGACCCAAAGTTATTGGAGTTTCGGGGTGGGGTTTGCAGCGTTCGACTTGGGATGAATAGAAGAAAAATGAGATAAAAAAAGAAGGCCAAAATTCGACGATTTTCATTGGTGTGCCCCCTTTAATACTTTATTATTGTGAGTATCAAAGACTTCTGCCATTTTTATTTTATCTGTGGTTGTTTGCAGATTTTTGAAAGTAAAGAAATATTTTACTTGTTCTATGTGAAATACTTTGATTTTGTGAAGATCAAAGACTTGTGCCATTTTTATTTTATCTGTGATTGTTTCAGACGTTTGAAAGTAAAGAAATGTTTTACTTGTTTAATGTTTAATAATTTGATTTTGTAAGGATCAAAGACTTGTTCCATTTTTATTTTATCTGTGATTGTTTGCAGATGTTTGAAAGTAAAGAAATATTTTACTTGAACTTGCATTTTATTGCCACTCTCAGTAATTGTACCACTTCAACATTTTCTTACTCTCTAAGGGTTACAGTAAAATTACAGAGGCTTAATTTTTTCATTGAAGATGTTCTGTCAAAGGATAAAAAGATTATATCCCTCCTGCATTGGTGAAAAGTATTTAAATTCGAATCAATAACACAATCACACTATGTTACTGTGGCAATGAACTACAAAGTCTCAATAATATCAGAAACTAAGCAAAACATTAACATAAATCACTGAAACTGACCAAGATGATGCATTATGTGGATCCTCTTTTCCTGGCCCCGAACCTGAGCGTCAGCAAACAGGTCGTTGCAGTTGTCACCCATACCTTCATCTGATGCATCGCCTTCTTCCAAGTCTTCATCACCAAGCACTTCATTGTTGTCAATAGGTGCTGCTAGCTCATCTGCCATCAACATTTCAACAATCTCGTTACTCACGCATGTAAACCTTACGACTTACACACAAAGCACCATCCATTCTATTACCTTCTGGCAACAGCTGCTCTCCATTCAGTATGAGAAAATTGTGAAGTGTGAAGGAAGCTGTAATATGATCGACTGCAATTCCCTCATACCTTACGTGCAGCATCTTTATCCTCCTCTACTTTCCTTTGCCTAACCGATATGCATTTTCAACACGCACACGACACTGGGATAGTGCTCTGTTGTAGTCAAGTTAGTCCTGGGTAAGGTGACCATCATTGGCCAAAGGTATCAGCATCTGCAAAAACAAAAAAGGACGACTTGAGCATTGTTAAATGCTTTAAGGAGAACGAAAGGTGGCTACAGCAAACTTACAAATTCAGTCAATACATATCCCCCATCTCCAACCAAGTGTTCCTCATAGTTGAGCCGGTCATTTTCTCCCAACACAATGTCTCTGCAGAGTGCAATACGTCAAAACACTCTCTTGTCATTCATGAGCAGTTCTCGCGAAATGTGATAATTTCGTGTCCTCTCTCTGGTTCTTCCAACCTAAAGTCGATTTGAACCGGGTCTTTTCCTACCTTAATGTTTTTTGACCTTGCGGACAAGGTACAATTCTTATCAGGATAAAATTTTGCCTCCTTCCACCATTAAATTGCAAGTTTTACCCCAGAATGTAATTTCCGTGGACACTTTTTGATGTCCTACGCTCCAGATTTGGGGCTTCGCGCCTCTACTACAGCCCAAGGGAGTATGAGAAATCACTTTCGCGAAGTGCATTTTGTTTTACGCAAGTGAGGCTACGTTTTGACGTGTAGAACGTATCTCTCGGGTAAAATTTGCAGACACAAGATGACTCCGAAAATTGTCCTCCACAACTAAAAATCGAAAAGTCTAAAATCGGTTTTTTTGAGACGGTTTTTCTACCTTGTGTGCGATCGTTCTGAAACTTTTCTTATATTGTTGGTGCATTCGTGCTACACAATTTTCAAAGTGGCGGAGTAATGTGGCACCATAAGAACGGAAAATATAAACTTAAATCAGTTTCAAAGCGGCGAAAAAATTGGTCTTGCAAGCAATAAGTGTAATTTCCGTTCCACCCATTGCTAGCAGACCATTCAAAATTTTTATTGCGAACCAATCCTTGTGTGTTTGCCTTGTGGACAAGTTGTTCCAGTAAAATTTTGGTTCCGGTGGCACTTTTGGTTTGGCTTGTAAACCCCATTTCATGCAATAATGTAATTTCCGTGGACTGTAATTTCCGTGGACAAAATGGGGTTTTCCTTGCGTTTCACGTGATTTTCGCCTCGTAAGGGGCCTCAGCTCTAATGTATGTCGATATTTTTCTGTTTTAAACCTCTCTTATGGAGGGAATGCCATTCTTATGGCCTAACCCAAGAAAGCATGCACTGAATATAGGTCACTGGCCAATCATAGGTGCGTTTACTTGAAGAAAAGTTGATCGGCAGGTCGATCGAGTGGCCCACTGCTCGCGCCGCGGTATTTTTAGCCGTCTCAAATGCAAATTCAGGCATTTCAGGCACAAAAGTTAACAACCTACACATTTTCTAAAAGAGGAAATGGTTTCTGTAATCTGTTTGACGTTTTGGGTCTTAGCACGCGAAAGGCAAGCTGAGGAAAGTCGTGGCGTAGTTTAACATAACTGGTTAAACCCGTCGCAAGTCACAAAATGGACCCAAACGAGCAGCGACCCGACTTTTTTAAGAGTCTAAGCTTTCGACTCCACTCATCAGATTGGTCAAACAATGTATTTTCTGGACAACCAAGCGGTTTTATGCTGCTTTGTTCGGCGCGGCCGGCATACTGCCATGACAGTTCTGACTGCGAGTCAGTGAAACCGTACAACGTTGATTATTCAGATCGGAAAGCTTAACCTAAAGCTTTGAGTCTTGCGAAAAATAGGCTCGCAGTATTTTGGGGTCTAGCTGACCAGACCATTTAAAACTTGCGGTGGACTTAACCTGACCGATATGTTAAGCAACATGACGCCCAAGGAGAACAGAATTGTCACGAAAAGCTCATCGTGAGCTGATTTCGGGTCACATGTGACCTCATATGTGCTCAAATCGTGACGAAATTTTATCACCTGCAGCTCAGGGTGACCTTTTCGTGACGATTCCGTTTCCCTTGGGCGTCTTTCCTAAGCTTGCCGTTTGAATGCTAAGACCCAGTTTATCGAATAAATTACAGCAATCTGTTCCTCAAACTTTACTCTTTCCGAAAATATAGGTTAGTAAACGTTGGTGCCATATATGCTAAGAGGGCTAAATAGACCGCACCGCCGATCAACTTTTCCTTAACTGACCGCAGCTATTATTTAATATGTATTTTCCAAACATAGAGGACACGCAGGAGCTGATCAAGTGGGACTTTCCCCCGTTGTCCACTGAAGGGCCCATCATTTGCCAAGTGTGAGAGGTACCGCCTGGGAGGTAAACACTATGCAACCGTGGTCAGAAGAAAATGAATTCACAGTTGTTCCCGAGACAGGGAATTAAGCAGGGGAAGGTGGACACCGGACCCTCCTGCTCACAAAGGCTGTTCTAGGGTGGGGGCCCCGCACCCCTCCCGGGGAATGTATACCTCCTCACTTACTGGTCACACTACGACTGGGACCTTGTAGCCGCATGAGGTTCTCCTCCGCCAGTATAACGTGGCACCCTAGTAAGGACGGCCATGTCCCGTTTGGCAGTGCACGCGGGCATATGTCGGGCTGGAAACGGCATACGATCAAACTGTGGTCTAGCCCGAAATCTTATTGTGAGGCACGCAACATGGAACCAGAACGCACAGATGTGGAGGGAGCTGCCTAAACTGCATGGCGTTTGCGTTCGTATCGCACCTATTCTAAGGGCCCATTAAAATGTAATTTCCGTGGACAATTTCTGAGGCTGTGTAATTTCCGTGGACAGCAAAAAAATTAAAATTGCGATATTTTCTATATTAGTGGGGTGATAGTTCGCCCCGATGAATCCATGATCCCTAGTGGTGTTCTTAAAGTAGTTTCATAGCTAAGGGGCCTACGGTGAAAGGGCGTATATTTTTATACCAAACTGTTCACGAGAACCTCCGCTACACGTTGGTGTGTTCGAAAAGTATCGTTCATGCATTAGTTTGCAAGATATTTAGAGTTAAAGTTTGGGTATTTTAACATGGGACCTTACGGGAGAGCCACGGAAGGGCCCCGAAAATTTCATATCTTTCAGTTTGTATACGGTGAAAAGTCTCCAAAAAACTAATCGGCGGGTTCATAATTTCATGAGGAACGCAACGGTGTAAATGAAAGTACTCCTTCATGTGCTTTTAAGAGAAATATTTGTATTTAAAGAGCCAAAAGCGGGTCCGATCGGCGGCAATGGCGCCGGGTCCTTCCGGTCGGCGCCGCAGCGCTAGGCGCGCGCGCCCTCAAACCACTCGGACGGAATACAAGCTGCTATGTAATTATTTCTCAGCAATAACTTGACCAAGAGTCCTGGAACGTAAGAACGGATATTATATGGGGTTATTCCTAAAAGAGCAAGAGAAATTTGTGCTTCGGAAAGTCCATTAAATACGAAAGAGCGGGGCTACCTGGGACCGAGTAGCATTGCCAACCTGACGGCCCCAACTCGCAGTCTCTTCTGAAGACACAATATCTGCACAAACAATCTGTTTTTGTACGTCAATTTTTATTTTCGCGATCTAAAATGTCTTGATAATTTGAGGGAATGATTTTGGTCGTCGTTAGACTGTCATAATATTTTTTGCTAGCTCCGCCATTTTCGTGTTTGGAGGTTCTCGTCAGGACAAAACCTAGTCAAGTGCAGAACTTTTTCGCCTATAGATAATTGCTATTTAATACATAATACAAAACAAAAATTCCAAAAATGTTTTAAAGCCCAAATAAAGTGGCTTTAGCACCAAAGTGCTTTTTTAAAAATAATTGCTGATTATTTTCAGTTGGTTTGTCAGTGGTAACAGTTGTGCACTTGACTAGTCCCTTTAGCTATGAAACTACTTTAACAAGATAAATGCAAAAAAACTGGTTTCAATTGAACTTTTTTTCAAAAAGTTTCGGGGCCCAAAATTAACCATTTCGCGAGAACAGCTCTCATACTGCCAAGCTAGGGTAGCCCAAAAAAATCGAAAATTTTCCGATTGTCCAATTCCACTCAAAAATCGATTCTTGACAAAAAGAATAACCTATATTTCTTGCGTTTTGTCCTAAGACGATTTTGAATACCGGCTCAACGGCAAAAATGGTTTTTAACCCGTTTTAAGCACCAAAATTGTCATAACAATTCCAGTTTTTGTCGGATTTTCAAAAACGATACAGCAAAATGTTCGGTTTTAGACGGCAAACAAGTTACATTTTCACCGTTTTTTTGTCAGACTTCGTCTTCAGTATTCCGCTTGCGTTTTTCGCTGAAAAAAAAACCAATATTGTTCACTATTTGGAGATAATTTTCTTGGTTTGGACGGCCGAGTTGCGGCCCTATCCACTTTTTTTGGCCCGTCCCGTTTATTTTCTGTAAAAAAATGACGGAGGGACGGGCATATAGTATGATCCCTGCTGTGCGTCCGTCCGTCCGTCCGTCCGTCCGTCCGTCCGTCCGAGAACTTCCCGTGGTCCGATCTTGACCAAATTTGGTATGCAGCCTCCTTGGGTGACCCTAAGAACTGCCCGGTGGCAGCAAATCCGATCCGAGCCCCGGGGCGCTGCTGCAGTTGCATCATGGTCTACATGGGGTCGAGGAGGATTTCGGCAACGGATACAGCTAGGAGGGCATGTAGGGGTATTTTTGGAATCGGGGCGACGAGACAAAACCAACGGTGCCAGTTTCAAGCGAATCGGAGAAGTTTGGACCCGGGTTCAAATCCCAGTAGGGTGTATTTTGAACATTCTTTTTATTCGAGTTGTTCCATTCTTTCTGATGTTTTGGAGGGTGCTGATGACGAAAATTTCATCTATTTTGCCCCAGACACTGGTTCAAATCCCGTAAGGGATTAACATAGACGAAATTCGCACATTTCTTAATGTACGGGACGGGCCATAGTTGGCGATGTGTATCGCTGCTTTTCCTGTTATTATCTTACCCTTTCCCAAAACAAACCGACCACGTGAAATATAGCAGTGCGTGCATATCAATTTGCCTACCATCTAGGGGCAAGCATTTCGTTGTTTTCAGTATAAAGAAAAGTCTGTTGAGCTCTGCCGCCGCAATTTTCCTCCGATTCTCAAACCTGACATGTCATTTTGTTCAGTTTTTCTAAGACAACCAAAAAAGATTTTGGTCATTTTTTTGTCAGACTGCGTTTTAAGGTCCGTCTCTGCTTAAAACGTGCAAAAATCGGCCAAATTCGAATTTTTTGCCCACTTTTGGACCGTTTTTCCCGTCAGCGATCCACGTGACCAGCCGATGATCACTCTTTCACCTTCCCTTGCCTTTCTGG